CGTAAGACAATTGAACGGAATGAGGGAAAGACCTTCGGTCCAGCTGCATTTCATGCAACCTACTCTTTGCGCAAGAAGGCCTTCCAGAGGGTTACGAGTCGGGTGCCGTTCAGTTGCACGAGGGGATGAAACGTCTGCGCCATCCGCATCCGTATGTGAAGATTCCGCTCCGATGATGTTCTCGACTGGCCCTGCCATTTTCAACCCCAAATTCCTCGTCCGACGTTTCGTAGCCTGCTGCACCTCGTGATCGACCTGACCCACAACTTTGGAAAAATATTCCTGCGCATCCTGCTGTTGCCAACTGCTCATCGATTTGAGCTCCGCCGGAATCCACAGCCGCTGATCATGATTATCAGCATTGTTTAACCGCTCGATGACGCCTTTAAGAGCCTGATGAGTCGAAAAGGATCCTTTATCCCCTAATGTCCGGATGTTGCGCTCCAAGAACTCCACAAGCGAGCGCAGAGATGCTAGACCCTGAATGATGCTATTTTGGTAGCATGAATTGTCCCAGTTTCCGAGCCCTGGGGGCAGATTGTCCTTAGCGCCAAGTAATGCCGTACCGAATCCTGAAAAGGTCGTAGAACAAGGAAGGAAGGAGGAGAGGGAAGAGTTATCGAGTCCAAGGATACGTTGCATTGCTTCACTCTTCGCTTGAAAGTTCATAGTAAGAAGGTCCTTGTCAGTTGAATCTAGTTTCGATGTCCTCGAATCCAGGGCAACAACTATTCGAGACGGTGTCAAATAGACTATGAGGTTCCACAGAGCTCGTGGTATCGAAATCGGCGCAACTCCGAAGTAATTTAAGACAAGATAAGCCAAAATGCCAGCCACAACTCCGTAGGTCAGAGTGGGATTATTACTCTGCAACCGCTGCAGAAACGTCTCATGCTGGCTATGTTGAGGTTTATGTAAAGGACTCTGAGTGAGGATGTCGAATCCCCCTCTTCGAGCATTCATGGCTAACCAGAAGAAGAGAAGGACGACAGCATAGAGGCTTTCGGAGCATCAAATGAGAAGGGAAGGTGAAGAAGTTTGTTGTGTTGCATCTGTATGGGACAAGGATTGTCTTACGCCAGCTCGCGTCAGCCTCTGTAAAAGAAGCCGCGGGCTGCGGTTGCGGTCTCTGTCGGTCACCGGAACTTTTCTTCTATCGATAAGCGGCTTCTCCACCCATCCTGACTATTTTTTCATTTCTCATTTCGAGTATCATAAACACAAAATGGCCAAAGCGAGACGTAAGTTTTCTACGAAGAAACTACGAGGGAATGGACGCCTTGATGCTAACATCACTGTGAATTATAGCCAAGTCGATACATTCTCGCGCTGCTCGGCGGGCGGCTTCCCCAAGTCTCGACGTCGACAAGTCGTTGACTGCACTGCCACGAGCCGAAAACAATGTCATACAGCGAGAATCTGTTCTGAATGAACGCGCCAATGCTGGGGTGTCGAAAAAATCAAAGGCCAAAGCCAAAACAAGAGCACAGCGCCTGAGACAACAGAAGGGCATGGAAAGAGCTGAAATTGTCTACTCTCGGCTGGAGAATAAGGTAGCCAAGAGCGTCTCGCGGGCTAAAAATGTCAAAGCACGCAGGGTATGAAGGTTCCTTGTCTATTTGGTAAGAATGCTAACGCTGACATGTGTCGTTCAGTCTGATTGGGAATCTTTAAATCGCAATGTATCTGGGTCCATGTTCGAAACTCTTCAAGAGCAGGATGACGATAGCCATCTCGATGATGCTATGGTTGATGTTTCTGGTGCGCCGGAAAACAAAAAGCGGACATCAAAGCCGGCGAAGGTCACGCAGAACCCTGTGGCAGATGATCATGCCGACATCGACGTTGATGATGACATTACATGAGAAATTCGATGGAATAAGACAATGAAAATCTCGAGTCAGCTATCTCCTTGGTCTGAGCTGATTGATCATTCGCTCAATTTCAGCAACGGCTGGTCCCGAAGCTTTCGCCCGAAGGAGTTCAAGAGCATTGACGTCTTTTGCTCTGTGGGCTTCCTCTCCGGCTTTTACGATCATTCCACATTTCACCCACATTTCAATCCTCTCGTCAACGGGCAGATTGGTGCATTTCGGAATAAAAAGCGAAGCAAGCTTGGTGTTTCCAGCACCTAGGACTTCATTATAGAAAGGCTATCAAGCTGTATGTGAGTATGTGTTTAATGAAATATCAGGACGTGGGTAATGTTTTACTCACCTCCCATCCAATCGGGGATTTCTTCTTGGCCATCTCTTCCAATTCACCCCAGTCTCTCTTGGCGACCAGGGCTCTTAATCGCAACCACCAATAAGTCTTGTCCGGCATCCTGAACTCGCTCTGAATCTTATGCGCTCGTTTTCCGTAGCCCGATTTGATCAGTCTGTAGATAGTATCATTTAAGCTGAGGCCGACAAACTCTGAGCGATCTGCGATGTCTTTGTCCAAAGCCTCTTGGACCTTAAGTAATTGTGACGCTTCAGAAAGCATTTTCTGCTGTAAAACCGCAGTTGCATCCTTAGAATCCGATAATAGCTTAGATGCGAGGAGGAGTTTCTCAGTTTTATGCGGTAAGTCTGTCGCATTCAGTGCCTCCGATAGGAGGACATTTGAACCATCGATAGGGCGGTCATCCTGGTAGAATAGATCTTTCAGCAACTCTGTGTCTTCCCCTCGAGCATTCGCTTCGACCAATGCCGAGGCGATGGGTCGGGTGTTGATCATCCTAAAGAAGCTGGCGAGAGGGAGTTTGCTCTTCAAGTGCAACAGTACATAGATGACAAGATCATCATCTCCACTCTCGATCGCCTTGTCCAGGGCGACTTCGTCTTCTTCCATTCTCAGCAGCAGCGGGACTTGCTTACCACCCCGGGGTTCGTGGTTCAGAAGCTGCGTGGCCAGGTGAGCGCGTCCTTCGTCGTATGCAGCTTGAGCAATCTGCTCGAAGGATATCCCGGGCTTGCCTTCCAATTTCTGCACAATGAGTTTGCACACGGCTTCGTCGTCGACTGTGGATACCTTGACCTTCTGGCTGGCCCAGTGCACATAGATCTTGTCCGCTGGAATCTGGAGATAATCGGATATTCGGATGGAAAGCAGATATTCATGTCGGTTAACCAGGCGTTCGATGAGTTTCTCCGGTGTGAGTCGCAGATATTGCTCATAAGAAATAGGCAACCCTATTTGGTAGTCCCTCACTGCTTTCAGCACTCGAAGTTTCTCCGTCATTTCGACGAACTCATCGCTGTTGTACAGTTCTAAGACAGACTTTCCATAGGAAGCAGCTTTCAGCAGCCTCTTCTGCCAGTAGACATCAAATTCGTGGCCCGCAGCCTTGACACAGGTATCAACCGCTTCTGGTAAACTGGAGCGAATGCGTTGTATGTTTTCGTCGGCCTTGGGCGACTTTTTCTCCAAGAGATCTACCGAATCCAGAAGGACCGAAGCTGGGCTTGTGGAACCAAGCCTGAAGATGGCTTCAGTGACATCTGTGCCGAGCCTAGTTGTTAGCCGTCGCTATGCCGCAAATCGTGCTGCCCTTACCTGTAACTTTGTGCAAGAACTCGCAGTTATCATTCGTAATCAATAGGACTCCATCACATTCGGGTATCACATGCACAGTGCCGTCGTAGTAATACCTTCACATGGTAAGTTTGTGCAGACAATGAAATCAAAGATAACATACTTAGCAGCAGCGCCATTGGGGCCAATGAGATGTATCTCATCCTCCCATGCAATGACAACAGCGTCATCGCCACACCAGTCGACGGTACGAGGAGTCACTCGAGATTTCGGGTCATATTCGGTGTGTTTACTCTGAAAATCACTGCTCACTACCCAGACCTGACCCTCGGCGGTGTAAAGGGCCACGAACCGACCAGTAGGTGATACGCTTGCATGTTTGAAAGGTCCATTCTGAAGCACTTTGTCTTCTGCTTCTGTGGAATCAATCAAAAATATAGTCTTGTCGACTGCCAGTAGCACCTCCACTGAACGAGAAAGAGTATATGGTGGCGGGATCAAAGACCAAGAAGAAACTTCTCCTTCTGGACACGGCGCTAGCAGCTTCGGTCGCGGCTCATCATAGATTGAGACAGCAATCAGTTGGTTATTTGAGAGCAGAGCGACAAAACCGTTGTTCCAGAACTTGCATGCTCTTACGCCATATTCTTCAGCTCCCTGCCAGATGAGGTTAGCATCATGGCTCTGCTATATATTTATACTGACTCACGTTTCCTAGAGAAAAAGACGTAAAGTCACCATGCAGGCCGAAATATCTGCGGACTGTTCCATCTTCTGTGATTACTAGCAGCTCTTCTTTTTCGGACCAGCCGAGCCCTCGAATCGTCCCATGTTCCCACTACAAGATTAGCATGAGTACATCAACGTCGCAGCCTTTAGCTTTGCCTGACTATATGGCAGGAAGCTTACATTGATGCGATTTATGTGCTTTCCAGAGCACGAATAGATGTCAATGCTAGATCTAGCTGTATGAGCATCGCGAAACATGTACGGTTTGCTTTCGTCCCGATGAAGGGCTATACATCTCATCAGTCATTGAGACAGATTAAATCACGCTTGTAACGTACCAATAGCTCCTCCATATGGCGCGCCGGCGACAATGTAGTTGTCCAAGTCTACATCCTCGTCAAAGATAGCGTCATACACGGTGACTTTCCTGTAAAAACTGTCCCCAAGTCGCTCCCAATTCGCAAGAGGATTTGACGGCGCCATTAATTGTGCTTAGTTATATTCATTGATGAAAGATACACAGTGCAGAGACACGTATCAGTCCAATGCACTGATTGACTGCGGTCTGTTGCCTTCCTATCCGAAGGTCGACATGGGATCCGAATCCCGCGCTAATCCCGATCGGATAAGCTATACCTTAGGCATCATTACGTGCCATTACACCTGGTTATCTTACTTAGGTTTCATCAAACCGTAACCCCATTATTTCGCTTCGAATAGCATCAACACCATGGCTCCAGGAGTCAATAATCATGGATGATAAAGAAGACATAAGCAGTCTTGTTTCTGATCTTTCAGATCTTGAAGTTGCACTTCTACTATCTCTTGCTGTTCATGAACATTGTCTCATTGAGACGACCAACGACTGCATCCATGACGTTGCGAAAGAACTGGCGCTGGTAATTTTGATCACTAAATGTTGGCTCCTTGCTCAACAAGCCGCTAATACCTTCATAGATATGCTCGAGTATCTTCAGCCGCACGTATAAAATTCTGGAATGCTCGTCAGCTACCTCCTTGGAGGATTTTTACTCTGAAATCCTAGTGTCGGATGTATCCAAGGCGAGTGCGCCGTACTCACGCCCGCGTAAGGGTGCTGAATCTGTATGATGATAGCCACAACTTTGACTACACGACCACGACTAATCCTTCTAGTTGTCAATCCATCTCAATACCACGGAGCCAAGGGATCGTACGAGGTCGCCTGGTTTCCGCAACCTCTTCGGGGACAAGAAAGTCGTCGACATCGTCATCGCCAAGAACTTCAATTATGTTGACGAGGATATACAACTTCATGCTCTGGAGGTAGGATTTCTTGACCATCACGACGATGCTTTGCTTAAACATCGCCAGTTGATGCGCTCCAAACGGTTGAACACAAATCATGGCCCAATTGAAGCTCCGCCTGACTTCCTCTTCGTCCCTCTTGTAGTGCGCAGCTCGGACCAGCTTCACCCTCGGTTGAATCATCATCTGGTGCGTGTCTTCATTTGTGCAATAGATGTCCGTTATCTACTGACGTGCAGCTAGAATGACCATCTTATCCTCTCTCACTATCATGACCCTACGGACGGCTATGTTCACCTAGAAGAAAATACCGACTGGCTCTCAGATGGACAGTTGTCAACCTCGTCTGTGGTCCGTAAATCGGATGCTCAGCTAAAGAATCAGAATCCAGCAGTTGACCAGAACGTATGCTTTCCTTTAACCTCTGGATTGACCTCCTGCTAATGAATTGGTCTAAAAGTTACTTGACAAAATAGAACACCTAAGCGCATCGGTCTCAGTGGGTGCAGACATAATACGGTATCAGCAAGATATTGTTGTATTCTTGCGACTAAGCCGCGCTGTTGCTGGGGGCATCACAGCACGATCAAACATGCAGTTTACGAAACTCTCGAAGTACGTCCAGCTAATCTGTTTTCTTTGAAGAGTACGCTGAATCAATCATGGCAGACTACTCGCAACATTACACGGAATTGACTATTTGACACCCTCGATTGTGGCTTTGGCGGCAAGAAAAGCCTTCCGCCATCGGATCGTCTTAGCAAAACCTGAAGATGATAGAAGTTTGCAATACGGGAGCGACATACAGGCCTTGACTAAAGTCCTTGCTCAAGCCAGTCCGGATTCCATACTGGACGGTGTTCTTGCACTGGAGCCTCCATTATGAATCGACAAACAACTGAGATACAGCTCACGAGGACTGTGTTGTAGGGACCTTCGCCAGATTTTCGGCCATGGCAATGCCTGCAGTTCGTCCTGAGAAAATGCAGCCCCCCAGAAATGTGCCTTCAAGGGAATTGTAGCCATGCACACCTCCTCCTCCGAAGCCTGCAACTTCGCCAGCGGCGTATAGATTCGTGAAAAGAGTCCCGTCCGGACGGAGAACATTGGCGCTCAAGTCTGTCTCTATTCCACCGAGAGTCTTTCTGGTGAGGAGGTTCATTCTGACGGCAATTAAGGGCCCGTGGCTCTGGTCTAGAAGCTTGTGAGGTTTGACGACTCTGCTGAATTTATCAGGCCAGAAGTTGCGCGCATTCTGGATTAGCATCAACTGCGCGTCTTTGGTGTAACTGTTATCTACCTGTGCGTCACGGAGCTCAATTTCGCGTTTAACTCGGGCCGTATCCAGAGGAGGACCTCCATGTTTTTGTCCGAGGTTGTCCATTCTCTCAAGTAGCTCATCCAGAGACGTCTCCACGATGAAATCTTCTCCATTCTTCATGAAGGCCTGTACAGGGCCCGTGCCGTTGGAACCGAATATCCGCTGGAGTAGAAGAAAGATACTTTTGCCGGTAATATCCGGGTTCTGTTCTGACCCAGAGAGGGCGAATTCACGGGCGATGATGCTTTTGTTCAAGACAAACCAGGTATAATCATACCCCGTCGAGCATATATGCCGTAGAGTAGCAAGTGTATCGCAGCCGGGGTACAAAAACGGAGGCAGCCGCTTTCCTGTAGCATCGAGCCAGAGAGACGATGGTCCAGGAATGACTCGAATCCCATGCTTCGGCCAGATCGGGTTCCAGTTGGTTAATCCCTCAGTGTAATGCCACATCCGGTCACTGTTGACCACATTGGCTCCAGCTTTCTGGGAGATATCGATCATGCGCCCATCGACATGCGCAGGCACCCCCAGGACGAAAGACTGCGGCACCTTAGGGCCCAGGCGATCCACCGGCCAGTATTTCTTCACCAAATCCAGGTTCCCCCCAATGCCACCTGAGGAGACAAGAACCGCAGCGCCTCGAAGCTCAAAAGTATCAACGCTCTTCCGCGAAGAAGCAACGCCTCGCTCGACGTCTGTCGGTTCCAGCACCTGCCCACGAACACCCACCGCAGCGCCTGTCTCCGCATCAACAATGATTTCATCAACCTGATGCCGGAATCGAAACTCAACCAGCCCTTTCTTCGCTGCTTCTTTCACCGGACTAGCGAATGCCTCGACGATCGCCGGCCCTGTTCCCCATGTGAGATGAAATCGCGGGACGGAGTTGCCATGGCCGCCAGCCTGCCCACTGCCCCGTTCAGCCCAGCCCACACTGACGAATCTCACGCCCAAAGCATTGAGGTACGACTCCATATGATCTGTGGCAAAGTTAACGAATGCTTCCGCCCACTTTCTCGGCCAATGGTCCGTTTCGCGGTCGAATCCTGCACTGTTGAACCAATCCTCCATGGCTAGCTCTCGACTGTCGCGGATGCCGTATCGGCGCTGGTTAGTTGAGTTTACGCAGAAGATTCCTCCAAGGGACCAGAATGCTTGTCCGCCTAGGTTGGCTTCGTTTTCCTGGTCGACGATGATGGACCGGATATTGCGGGTAGAGAGCTCGTAGGCCGCTACCAGGCCTGCTAGGCCGGCGCCTACTATGACAACAGGTTGATCATTCATTGTCATTTTTGGAATGTGTATCTCGGAGTTTATGATGTCTCTTGAAGCATGCGTGTGGTTATTCATGCATATATAATTGCGTGCTGGCGTTGCCGCTTGTCAGGATCTTGCGCCTACCGAGGTACTTGCGCAAATCAGTGTTTCACCTGCCTGTGGAGGATGACGGGCGGAGGTCATCCTTAGAAGAAACTAAGCTGTTGTCCATCCGGGTTGAGCGCAGCTTCTCTCGTTGGTGGAAACTAATCTTACTCTCACCTGCGCTACCTCTTTCAGCTGCACGCCAAGTGGTTGTGTCATCCAATCCTCTCATTGAAGTACCCATAGCCCATCGGTGGGACATTTCAGTATATGTTCCAATTGGACGATCCAGAATGATTGCAGATGACCGAAGTATCCGATCCTTCATGTTGTGGATCTCGGAACCAGCCGAGACTGTACCACATCAAATACTGACCTCTCTCCAGGAGAAAAGCCCAGCTGCTACACGAAGGATACAGATATCACCAAATTGCAACTGTGTCTACTCAGAGGAGAGCCCATCATGTGAGGAACTCGGCACGTTGCGCATCATAAAATCACGTTTATGAACATACGAAATGCATACAGCAAAATATGGACAACAAGGGTATTGCAGGGTATGTGGAGGTGCAGCCTAATCACTGCCTCGATACTCTCGGGGCAGCCCTCAAGAACATATCTGGAGGCGCAAAGCTAGCTTTCCCTTCCTCGGTAACGCCATTTCCAACCACAGGCGGATGATTTGCCTGAATGGAAGCCATAACTTTCCGCCACTCTGAAAGTGCAGCACCGACTTCGACCTTGGCATCTCCGACTATGGCATCCATCTTGATATCGTTTCGGTCATATCCAAATGGATCTTCGAGTTGACAGCCAATGCCCTCAATGCCGTACAAGGTGAAGATCACAAGACTGACTATAGGAACGGCCCACCATCTCATATCATCGACCATGGCGAATGGGAGCACACATCCGAACAGCGCGAGGACTTGCTTTTGATGGATTCTGCTCGTGCGATCAGCATCATGCAAGCGATTCAACGAGGTGAAGAGAATACTCACAAATGAGCGACAGGTATGGGAGTTAATTTGATAGTTTCCATCCTCCCATACGCATCTGTCAACGTGTTCAGCTGGGCTTGCATCTGACTCGCTCCGGGAGCATTGAACCACCCCCGTTGCACGCCCCTTTTGATAAACCCATCCACAAAGAAGGTCAGTTGGAAAGGCAGACCCAGCCCGTCATGCTCATGACCCTCCAGGCCCACAGGAAGGAGGCTCGCGTAGTCTGGGTCATACACCGCGGTACCATTCTCATTGACATCACTCCCCAAAGCCCATGCCGCGCCCCATTCATCACGAAGGTGGTTCTTGACAGCATAGGGAATCGCCATGAGCACACGGATTGTCCGCTCGATGTCCTGCTGTTCAGCGGCGGTGGGAGGGCCGCGCTCACTGTAGCTGTTTGTGACAATCGTACGGACGAGGTTGCGTACACAGGTGGTAATTGTGTTCATGCCGTTGCGACCGTCCCAGAATCTATTGTAGGATGTCTGATTGCGGAACACGAGCATCAAACCCACGACAATAGAGAGAGACGGAATCTAGAGCTGTCATAAGCAAAAAGCTCACACAACGCGACCCATGAGACTAGAATTAACCTACAATGCTATTCGGCAGACCCACTGTATCAAAAACATACTCGTCAAGGTAGACCACAAACGCCGTAAACAGCGCATGCAGGCACACCGGTACCAGAATTGCACCGTGGATAGCACCCTTGATGAACCGGAAAACTAACGGCCATCTATGCAGGTTAACATCGACCACTCAGAAATAGAAAGAATACAATCAAAGAATACATACCTCCTCGGCTTTCTCCGACTCGATAACAAATGCGGATGTGTTCCCGTCCGATGATGATGCGCGCCCTCTCGTCGAAAGCTGAACGTAGTGCCGTTCTGGCGCTCCAGCGTCGGAGAGGGAGGATCACTCGTACTGACTCTCATCTTCGTATTGATCTCTATACAGAGAACACAATCGTTGACCACTGCAAGGATTTGTTTATCAAAACAAACAAGTAAACATGAGGATAATTAGCGGGCAGGAGGGGCGGCCGTTTCAGACAATCTAGCGGTCAACGAATTTCGAACAGACTCAGAATTACGAATACACGAATCTAAATCTGGCAAGCCCAGAGCTTACTAGTCTGATATTGCGGCTCAATTGAAAAAATATAATTTGTGAGGTGACGGGAACGATCCTTATATAGATGGTTGAAGATTTCACATTGTCATGGCGAAGATGTGTTTAAAGTAATGATCGTCATCAGTACATTCGAGATGGAGGAGGGGTACCCATTAATCAAGCACAGATAGGGGCGATCTGGACCTAACAGCCAACTGGCTAGGGCGGGGTATACACTACTGCAATGGCGTTGCTTCACCTGGAACAAAGATGACGTCTAATGGCGGGCATGCGTCTTGTTGATGAACAAAGAGGCAAGGCCAACTGGTTGCACAATTAATGACTGAGAGCCTGGCTCCAGGGCGACCCAGGCAAACTACCTACTATCCTACCTGAAGCTGCAATGTGCATGCTCAACACTTGGCGAGAGTAGGCGATATGAATAAAGCCAAGTGAACCGACCTGCAATAAAAGCCACCAAACTTGGGCATGATCGTCCAATAAAGTTCTGAAAGCGAGAAAAGGATGCCAACGCCTAAGCTGGGGGCGGAGGAGATACATGGTTCGAAGAGCTTGTCATGGTGCGAAAACGCTGAATGTCATGATAAAAATGCAATGCGCTGGATAGACCCAATCATCTCGACCAAAGATCGAAGCTAGGATGATGTGGGCAAGTACAAAAGAAAAAGCAGATGGGGTGCGCAACGATGGGGTATATGTAGGCGGCTGATGAGGTGTCTCGAAAAGGTGAATAAGAGCAGCGGTGCAATAGCGAGACAGCAGCATAGAATTTAACCGGCGACACAAGAACTCCTGCAGGGAAAGATAATGAGAATAATGTGAACAGAATAAGAGATAGCACTTTATATGTAGAGGCGCAAGTCTGGAAGGTATCCAAGCTGAGCTGTTCAACATGGACATCCCTCGGCAATCATGACATGCCAGCTCTACCATCAAAGGCCAGAGGCCCTGAATCGTTTCTAGGCGTTAGCGGGTTGTCATCGGACGATTCGGAGCGGAAAGGGGTGTCAGTGCGCGCCTGTCTGATCGCAACGGGGTGGGATGGAAGAACGGAGCCATCGGAACCTGTTGTGGGAGCAGATGTAATGTTGCTCACAGCCGGTTCAGGAGAGGCAGATGGTGCGAGATTCCGAGTTCGCTCTGCTTCTGTTTCGGACGGAGAATCGTCCTGAAGTCGCATGTTCTCGATGTTATCGGCTAGTCCCTCCTCAGCGGTTGCGTCACTTGTTTGACAGTTGCTTTCCGTGCGCTCTTGCGTAGGAGCTGCTGCCGGGCCCGACTCCGCTGAGGGTCCTTGGCTTCCTGATGAAGCCTCTGCTGCTGACGTCTGCGCAGGCTCCTGGATATCATCCTTCTGCTTGCTGGCATCCACATCGTTCGCGTCGTTGGAATCGTCCACCTCGGCGCTCAAGTCTGTGTATGCACGACAATTGGGACATTGGAACATCGGATACTCAGGAGTATGTATAAGACGGCTGATGCACTTGTAATGCCACACATGCGCACAAGCTGCCATGAACAAGCACTGATAAGGTCGCTGCAAGTCAAGTCAGTCGTCTGTCGTTTCAGGAATATCATTTTCCAACAAATATACTGACCAGGACCGAGCCGAGGCAGATTGAGCACTCGCGACAACCTGAATAATCTGCTGTTTCCCCTTTGCCAAGGTTCTTGATAAGGCTTGCAGTGTTTTTGCTAAAGAATCTGTCAGCTTCACCATCCGTGAACATATTTCAGCCGGTCAAGGGAATCTGCCGTACTTGAACTCATTGGGTTGTTGCTGCCAGGAACGGTTGCACTCTATGCGAATGCGCACGCATCGAAATATCATCTCCTCACCGCCTCTGAAATCGATACCGAGTTGTACGATGTCGCCATCCTTGATAGTGTAGAGCCTCGACACCATGTTTGGCTGGCTTAACCTCATGTGATTCAAGAACGTCCCAGAAGAGCTCCCCACATCCTTGATGTGCCACTGCCCATTTATATAGAGGAACTCGCAATGCTTCCGACTCACAACTTTTGACTTGAATCCGACAGGGGCATCCGAAGGTTCGGTAGGGTTAGCCACAGGCATACCATCGCGCTCGGAGTATCGGCCAACACGGATTACACTACTTTCCGATGGGAGAGTTCGCGAAATAGGAATGAAGTGCAACGACGGTCTGGAGCTTTGGCTGGAATCTTGATGGGGAAAGAAGCGGATGGTTGCCTTTCCCTTCGGGCCAGGAGACGACGAATTTTGACTCGCGGTCGAGTTTGCAGATTCGGAAGCGTTTATGGTGGGATTTGCTGAGGCAGACGGGCTCGATGCTCGCTGGTCGTCTCGCGTACTCGAGGTCCCTAACGAAGCTCCTGAACGCGCCATCACCTCGACTGAATTTTCACCGCCGGAGTCGTTCGAAGGGGTCGAGTGTGACGAGTCTGTTGTGAGGTCACGGTTTTGCAGATCTACGTCAAGAGCGCGGTAGTTGGGAAAGAAGACGGAGCTATAACGAGCGAGAGCAGATTGATCGCTGTTTGGGCATGGAGGTGGATGGGAGGTCCCCGCCGAAGGGAGAGACGAAGACTCCGGGCTAGTCGACGAGGCAGAGGAAGGGGAAAACCAAGAAACACGACTGCTGAACGTATGTCGACGGGAAGAGCGCTGGGGATGAGCTGCAGTCGAGGAAGAGGTATGAGGTGAAAAATGATTCTGAGTGTAGGCTCGTAGTTGGCTTAGTCGTCGGCGGGGCCCAGAGCGAGAGTCGGCTGGGAAGTTGGCGGTGGAGGCGGAGACGGTCGATGCAGACATGTAGGGCAGGGCAGCAGGCAGATGGTATAAAACACAGTAGTGCCAGACCAAACAAATCCTGCTCAGGGAGAATCTCTCACCCAGTTAACGAGATAATATATTATTTAAATGTCAAACAATATGATGATAATAATGTATCAGGTCAAGGCTGGCAATGTGCCTAGGCATATATAATGGTTCGGTCGGGAAGAGAGGATGGCGGTTATACTTGGCGCATTGCAGCTCGGGAACTGTTTGCAGAGAGGAGAGAGCTGCAGCGAGCGACGACGATATCGAGTAAGAAATTCGAGATTGAAAGAAATCTTCAAAAGGGGGGATGATGAGAGAAAGAAAAGAGGATTTGAGCTTTTGCGCCGAAGAAGACGGTGGCCAACCAGGCGAGCCGTTCAAGGACCGTCCGATGGTAAGATCTCCAGTGGGGCGAGAATGTAAGTGGACTAAGGAGTAGGTAGGAGTGGTAGGTTGGCGGACTACAGTACCCAAGACAGGTAGTCTAGGTGATTAGACTACTTGACGGACAAAAAGAAGGGACTAATAATGCATGAACAGAATGGCAATTACCACAGACGACTGGCTTGGTGTGACCTTGTCGACTCTTCGGGAAGAATCCGCTCTAGAATTGATTTACATCTCCTACTCTTACGACCCCTTTTAAGACTTGTAGGGATAAGGTACTAGCTTGGGGGGAGGCGATACTTATTCGAATGGGCCGCTGGGCCTCATGGGAAATTTCCACTTCGTTCGTCTTCCGGTCAACATTCTTCCCCATAGGATCCTCCAATGACGCGGCCATTACAGGCAAACAATGGACAACAACCCTTACTGCATTAGTATCTTCAATAATGTCCAAATGCCCTCCGTAAATAGGGAACTGCTGTCGCCGCGATTTTGCTCCTCCTTCCCTCCCTGGTCATGCCATGCGCAAAGATCCCTCTGGGGATTTAGTGCGGTGTCTAGCCTGCGGGGCAACCCAAAACATACTGCAGAGGGCAGACCTTAGGATTTGCCTCGCAGGCGATTGGACGCTTGCTTTTATTGTTATTGGCTGTGGTTTCTTCGACAAAGACATACCCGGCACGTCTCATGTGATGCAGAACTTTCTCTAGACAAAACCTTCTCACGTGGGCAATGTGACAAATCATTAACCTTGCATTTGATATCCAGAGTCAAGGCACAAGGCAGCGGGCGCACGCTGCAACCTGCGCATAGATTCCATTTCCTGGCTGTCATATCGCCGGGAAGCCCATGAGTGTACTCCGAAGGACTATGTCTACGCCTTGGATTGGTTTCTGGCAACACTTCTTTAAAAACTCCTCCGTTTCATCTGCAAATCGTCCAGGTACCTAGCTAGCGAGGAGTACATTCTAGGACCAGGGTGAACAGACAGCAATTCCCTTTCATGGAGGCTTACCTCCGGTAAGGTACACTGAACTATTAAGCGGTATTTTACGAAAAGGCTTGTTCAAACGGTTGAAACGCACATTGGCTGGGTCGGAACAACGGTTCAGTTTGTGATGCTGCAAAAGCAGATATTATTGACCATTGACTCCGACGCCTTCCCAATAGTGGTATCTCATCATATGATTTTTTTTATCACATACCTCTCTATAGATGAGCGAAGGACGGGCACGTTTATTATCTATCCCTCGACTCACCGAATCGGGCGCGATGCGGAGCTGCTGAGAGACTGGATGACGTCATCTTCGCTTGACAGTATCTCAGCAGCAGCATTGATGTGTCAAAAATAGACCACAGGACCTCTGTAAGCCTCTCTAGGTACTATGGTTTGCATTCAAACTCCAGATGTGATGCCGGATCTAAAATGCCTTTCCTCGCAATGTGAATCTTAGAAGCAGTCTTTAATCCGTGCTTACATATAATGATACAAGTAGAGCCAGCATAATCTGGGTTATTGCGGCAAGCATATTTCTCGATGCGGTTCAAATATGCTATGACACTGGAAGTCGTTTCAGATGGACTTCCATGAATCTTGCGCCAGCTGGCAATGCTGCACTGCTGTCTTTGCCATTGTAGTAGGGCTGCCATGCTTGTTGTTCTTCACTATTGGGCAACTGCACGGCCAGCCACTGATTGTCTTGTAGTGTCACGTATTCCTGCTCATCTTGTGTAGCATCCCAAGGCCCGCATATCTGACCCTCGCTATCTTCCCAACTCCCGTACCGCAACTCAGAGGTCGCTACATCGCAGAATACCCATCGCAGAGTGGGTGGGCATTCGGCTCCAATGCAGACGAATCCTGATATATCTCCTCGCCTAAAAGCAGGGTGTGGGTAGAAGCCACCCTTGAACAAAACCATCTCAGGGCTTGGTTGTTTTGTTATTTACAACTGCAACTTGTCAGATAAACCTTTCGGGCAACTTTGGTTGAAACGACATACTTTCTTTTGGATGCGCGTAAACCTTGGCATCCTCAAGCTGGAGTCGTTCCTTTACAGAGCCTTCCTGGAACTTCGTTATGACTTGCAGATTGGACGGCTGTTCGCGATCAGCTGCCTGGCGGCGCTTCTCATCCTCGCGCTTCAGGCTGTGGTCATCTCTTCGGTTGTGCTTGTCATCCTCCGTAAGCCCCACTATACCGGGTATCACCCTGGTAGGGATCATGGCCGACATTATGATAATGTTGACGACTCGAAGCACCATCTTGATAGGATGGAGAAAGTTTTCCTTAATCCTGGCGGCAGAGCTGAAACCAGTAAGTCATGGAAGACATTAAATAGTATTGGGGTTCGCTGACAAGTAAGTAATGTCTTGCCTTCTTACATCCCCTAAGAACACAATGTGTTGTCGGGCCAAAGATACTGTTACGTTTCTGATTCATCTGTTATATTGAAACATCCAGCGACGGGGAAACGAAGAAGTATGTTGAGGCCAAAGTTGTTGAGGTCAATGACGGCTACACAGATGCAGCCAAGAAGGATCCAAGCAGGAGCAATAGAGAGCAAAAAGAACCCAGCCTGAAGATCACCATTCATCTGGATCTGGTTGCTGAGGTCGATATCAAGATCAAGGCACAGCTATATGGTGATATTGTGATTGGCCTGCTTTGAGTTGCCAAACAACGACCTGTAGCTAGTTTAAGTACGAGCTAAATGTGGATTTCTTGACTTGATCTCACTCACATACACACACACGCGCACACACACACACACACTCACTCACTCTCTCTCTCTCTCTCTCCCTCTCTCCTCTGTGTGTGTATGAGTTTAAGATGGGCTAGTTAGCTGAGTACACAACTTTCGGGTGGTTGTATTGAGTGGAGTGAGGCCCAGCGCTGTGTGTAGAGCGGATGTACTCCGTACCATTGACAAATTTCTGATGAATGTCGATTTTGGTCTTTTCTCAAAAGGGTATCCCCCACCATCCACTTACTCGGAAACACCCTGGCTATGTTGATCATCCGTCACTTGTCTGGTGATCAGCCGCGTCATTTGGTGGTCGCCATTTTTAGTCTCTCAGGACGGTTAGAAATCGATGGAAGAAACGAGTTAGGACTAGACATCCAATATTCGTTTCATTGGTGTTCATTTCACCAATGTAGTTGGACGTAGAGGAAGGGTGGAGCGGAAACAATGTTCCAATCAACTAATAAGAGGACTGTCACGTTATACGCTTGTCAACAGAAGAGAACGATTACACATCATTGCGCCCTAAGGGAAAATCGGCAAGGCAAACGTAGATGGGGACCAGGCCTGCTGGTAGGGTCATGCCTTCGTTAGTTCTCGGTATCGATCAAATGCTTGCCGTTGGTAGCGTGATGACAGTCTACTCCCATATGTGGGCTCTATTCTGCTGCGGATTTTTATATTGAAAGACCATGAGAATGTGTTTGGGTTTTGCAAATAGTAGCCCTGAAACCGAGCTTGCGATCTTGTAACGGGTGGCCTTGTCTAGGGGAGTAGGAGGGATGCGTGTGGTTCATGGTGGATAAATAGCATGGCTGGGACGGATGCGAGATGGGAGATAAACAAAGGCAAGCAGAAGTTGACGATCACGAATTACCTCTCTGCATTTTGGGTTTTCTTGAAATTGAACTGTAGCAAAAAGCTTTTTAGGTAGCGAAGATTAATAGTCGCATAAACGATGCTCAACATAATGTATCTACAGTTGATGATCAAGATACCTGCTACGGACATCAGTGAAACCTATTTGAAGCATGGTTAGACTCACTTGGAGCTTCCTTCTCCAGTGACAGCCGCCGCTGACGAGACTAAAGTAACCCAGCTAAACTAGACGGAGCAGCAGACCTGCTAAACCTAAACCAACCTGCCGTCTGCCATCTCCTACCCTTCTCCCCCTCCCTCTCGACTTATAATTCAGCATTCCAAAGGTCGGACGCAGACCCTGGAAGAGTCAAGAGAATAATTACCTCATCAACTAAAGACCAAGAGGGTTTATCTCACCTTGTCTTCCCGTCCTATCACGCGACGACGTTCCCTACCCTCCCGCGCCTACCTCAGCAGCTAGCTCCTGGTGCTATATGCAAAGCCTCCCGTCCTTTCTGTCATCGCCAATCGACTTCCATTCGCATCCTGCATCTCCTTGCTCGACCAGTCGCATCCCCGGATCGCTTACATCCCGCGAAAGCTCCCGGTCTGAAAGAGCGGAGATAGAGAGAACAACAAGGGGGAAACTAAAGCTGCCTTCCTTATCTTGATCGACTACCGTCCCTCACGCCTACCTTCGCTTTGAAACTGACGCTTGCGAGGCCTTCTGGCCTCCCATTACAGAAGGTATGACTGCGATCGCAAACGCGTGTCTGTCCTGTCTATCGGCAGTCGACCGCTGGTGTCATATCACAGCCTGTCTCGGTCCTATCGGAGGTCGCTCGCGAGATGGAATTTATGAGACAACGCTAGCAGACAATGAGCGGGAGGCCGTATCCGACTTGCTCGGTTACTTGGAGAACGTACGTCTAGCTTTGTCCGCCTATCCACCGGCGCTTCGCACCTGACATATCCTCAACGTACTCGGGCCTTTGTTTTGCTGAGGAAGCTGACTTTACTGCGTTCTAGCGAGCCGAAACCGACTTCTTCTCCGGCGAGCCTCTTCGCGCCCTGAGCACGCTGGTTTATTCTGATAATGTGGACCTTCAACGAAGTGCTAGCTTGACTTTCGCCGAGATAACTGAGCGAGGTACGTCGTATCACTGTTGTAAAACCAGAAGTTGGAACTGACGTTATTGTGATTGTCGCAGATGTGCGCGAAGTTGACCGGGACACGCTGGAGCCTATCCTCTTCCTCCTACAGAGCTCGGACATTGAAGTTCAAAGGGCTGCTAGCGCAGCTCTCGGAAATCTTGCCGTCAACGGTTTGTCGCTCAATCTCACATCGTCGTCGAGTAGTGCTGATGGATTGTAGCCGAGAATAAGGTGCTCATTGTTGCTCTGGGAGGGCTGGCTCCTCTTATACGTCAGATGATGTCGCCCAATGTCGAGGTCCAATGCAACGCTGTCGGTTGTATCACCAATCTAGCGACTCATGAGGACAACAAGGCCAAGATTGCCCGGTCGGGAGCTCTGGGTCCATTGATCCGTTTAGCAAAATCCAAGGACATGCGTGTACAACGTAATGCCACTGGAGCGCTTTTGAATATGACGCATTCTGGTAAGTTGGACCGTAGGATAGAACGGGTCTGAGCTTGGCTGACTGCTCGCGAAGATGACAACCGACAGCAACTCGTCAATGCCGGTGCAATCCCTGTGCTTGTTCAATTACTCTCCTCCCCTGACGTCGATGTACAATACTATTGCACAACCGCTCTCAGTAATATCGCTGTCGATGCTTCGAATCGCAAGCGGCTCGCCCAGACAGAGTCACGGTTAGTTCAGTCTCTTGTTCACCTTATGGACTCTTCCACTCCCAAAGTTCAATGTCAAGCCGCCCTTGCACTTCGAAATCTCGCTTCCGACGAGAAATACCAGCTGGAGATTGTTCGTGCAAAGGGGCTTCCGCCTCTCCTGCGCCTGTTGCAGTCCTCATACCTTCCCCTCATTCTTTCTGCTGTCGCATGCATCCGCAATATCTCCATTCATCCTCTCAACGAGTCGCCTATCATCGACGCAGGCTTCCTTAAGCCGTTGGTAGACCTTTTGGGTTCGACAGACAACGAAGAGATACAATGTCACGCCATATCTACACTTCGCAACCTTGCCGCAAGCTCTGATCGCAACAAGGAGCTTGTTCTGCAGGCTGGTGCCGTACAGAAATGCAAAGATCTGGTCCTTAGGGTTCCTCTGAGTGTACAATCTGAAATGACCGCTGCAATCGCTGTGCTGGCTCTCAGCGATGAATTGAAACCTCACCTGCTCAATCTTGGTGTCTTCGATGTGCTGATTCCCCTTACGAACTCCGAAAGTATTGAGGTCCAGGGCAACAGTGCTGCTGCTTTGGGCAACCTCTCCTCAAAAGGTATGTCACCAGCCATCGCTCTACGACCTTTTTAACCGCACAAGTACTAATGAGCGTCAGTTGGCGATTACTCGATCTTCGTTCGTGACTGGGCTGACCCCAACGGCGGCATCCACGGTTATCTCAAAAGGTTCCTTGCAAGCGGTGACCCTACTTTCCAACACATTGCCATCTGGACTCTCCTTCAATTGCTGGAATCGGAGGACAAGCGACTCATCGGCTACATATCCAAATCAGAAGATATTGTACAGATGGTCAAAACGATCTCGGACAAGAACATCGAATCAGACGAAGAGGATGGGGAGGATGGTGAGGCCGAGGTCATTGCGCTGGCACGGCGATGTCTCGCTCTACTCGGAAATGGTCCAAAACAGACTCTTGTCGAAGGCTAAAGCGATGCTACCCCATAATTGTCACCGCTTCACTCCTTCTCGTTCATATCTTGACGTTTCTTCCTACCATTCTCAGCACATCGGACCTTTACTTACCACAGGGTGCTAAGCGGGCATTGATTCGGTGTCTTTTCTTACGCTTATTTCTTTCGTCAGCGAGCATTTGGTGCGTTTATGGATTCCCGCTAGAATTCTCATCCATAATTGTCTGTTCGTCTATAGTTTTCTTTCAGGACTGTCACGCTTATTTTACCCTGCCTGTGCTGCACATGAATACTGTATTGATGCTAGAGCAGATTTAAAGATCATAATACTTTGAATCGCAGTATATCTAGATTTAGTGAGAAACAATCCATTTCATCAATTTCCCATCGATATGTTTATGCATCTGTGACGGCGTTGGCTAAATTGCTATAGGCCGGGAAAACCTCCTTCCGAGCCGGTCTGCCATAAGACCATGTAGCAAAAATTACTCCGGAGCTTCCAATCTTCCTCTTCCAAACCAAAATCCAACTTCCTTTTTGCACCTTGGGGAAGAAGATTGCCACTTCTTAGTGCTGCTCAGTTGAGATGGCAAGCACTCTACCCTCCTTGGCTATTCCAGGACAGCGCCTGGGGCCAGTGTCCTCTTACTCTGCAGGACCAGGTACCCACGTGCAGAATGCCAACATCTATGCATCCATTGCTGGACCAGTGGTTGTCCAACGAGCTCAACCCAGCTCCAAAGTAAAATCTATCCTCTGTGTCTCGCGGAACCTGCCGAGGAAAACGGACTCTTCTACCTCGACCACACCTGCAAAAACCACCTCCACCACTACGAAATCGAAATTGAGGTACAAC